GGTGGTGGTTGGGCGACGTTTCGGCTGAATAGAGGTGACCCACGACTTGTACCACCTAGACTCGAACCCGTGCTCATCCTGCGGTGTCCAGCAACATCAGTGGCGGATTTAGAGCGTTTTCATTGCTACCAAACGCAAACAACAGTGTTTTTGGTAGTGTTTGCGCCTATCCATATATGTTCCAAGTTCGATATAAGTTCCTCACGCTGTTAGAGTTAGCTCTAAATTACCCACTCGTAAACGAAGTCAATTGTGGTAAAGGACCTTTCAAAAACCTCTTGATGCATAGGTGTTGAATCGACGCAAAGTTTGATAGTGTAGCAGTGTGTAAGTAGTACCAAGGGGTGGGTGTGTGCGTTAGTAGGTGTATTTGACATGAGTTCTTATCGAACTATCTTATTTTTGTGCATCTCATGTAGGTAAAAATTGTTAGCCATGGTTAAGGGCTTGTAGATGCTATTCTGGATTATGTTCTTACTGAAAGTTTGTTTTGAGAATAAATGATATTTTTTTCTTGATATTAGGTGCTGGAAATTAATTGTTATGTGATGTTGGGATACTATTGTAGTGGCTTTTCATGTTGTTATGTGCTGGAAAATTGTTGTGATATGTTTAAATCCCTCATGACATAGTCTTTCATGATATAAAGCAATGAAACTTATTTTTCAGATATGTTTTGACACTCTCATTGTGATCGTACATACTAGAAAGTGTAGGAATAGTTTGTATGGATTAGTTGGGTGTTTTTTCATAGTTTCTAAGTGTAAGAGCAGCCTAAGTCACGAGAATTATTGCCATTGTATTGCATATGGGTAGAAAATGCTAGGATCTTGTTGTTACGACTTGTGGCTATGTAACTCATGTTATCTTTGTCTTGGATGATTATTTTGGAATACTTATTGTGGAAAAAGGGCTGAACAAGGTCAAAATGTTAGTCATCGTGTGCTACTATTCTGTTGGAGGACTTGATGCAAAAACGTGAGCTGTGGGAATTGGAATGGTATGATAGGAACTTAACAGAGGACCATGACTCGACTGTGGGGCTTGCCGTGTAATGAGAGGCAGATACACGAGTGGACCAGCTTCAGGGCAGGTGGTCGAGAATATTACGTCAATAATGGGTGTCGAGCCTCTGGGTACAAAAGGTCGGGGGTCGATAGGCCAGTCTTGGTAGAGATGAGTGTTGAGGCTCCGGGTACAAAGGGTCGAGGGTCGGCAAGATGAGTCTTTTGATGATGAGTATTGGGTCTTGACGTGGTGGCGGTCAAGGACCAATATGCTGAGTAGGCGTCGAGGCCTTAGGTACAAGAGGTCGAGGGTTGATGCACAGTTCGAGGCCTTGAGAATAAGGGCCAAAGTCGAACGCCAAGCTTCTATAGAGGAGTGTCGGGGCCTTGGGTACAAAAGGTCAAGGGCGATACGAATCGAAGAGTTAGACTTGGATTACTAACATAATACGGTGGGCTAGGAAGAGCTTGGAAGAGCTAGAGGTCAACGAGGCTTGCGGTTGAAGTTCTGTTAGATTTAATGCTTGGGATGTCTGTGTGTACTGATTTCTCGTTATTTCCTATTATTGATGATTACTATTTATAGTATCGAGATGTTTTATTGCAATGTCAAGCATGTTGTATGTGTTTAGTCAGTCAGGGCTACTAACAAAGTATTTTATATACTCACCTCCCTCTTCAACTTTTGTTTTTAGGTGCAGACCGAGTCCTTGGCCATGGTGATGACGTGGAGGAGGCTTGACCGAGGAAGGACCATTTAGGCTGCTTTATTGTCACTTAGGATAGTTGATCTGTAGTTTGATTGTCGGAGGCATAGGGACTTATTGATAGTAGTGGACTAATTATTGTGGTTTTTGACGCGATGTAGAATTTTGTTTCCCTTACAGATGTGATTACGCTTGTTTACATGCGTAAAAAGAAGGTTTTAGATGCTGTTTTTACTATGTTTTAACTTTGTTTCGGACTTTTTCTCGGTCGTTTGAGTTCCAATTCATGCAAAATTCATATATGATGGTTTGTGGTTGGCTTATATTGTATTTATGACATTTTAGGACCATTTGGGAGTGCAAATTAATCAAAAGAAGCAAAAAGACGGAAAAAACTACATGGGAGGCGTCAGGCGCCTGAGAGGCTGCAGAATTCCTGATTTTCTTCCAACTTTGCCCTTAATGAAACGCGTCTTCCAATGCGTTTTGGTGGTTCCAAYCGATGCATACGTGTAGAAGAAGTGTTCCACTATCAGTTTGAGCACGATTTAGTCAGTCAAAGGAGTTGGAAATGGGTGATCCACCAGCGTTTTAGGACCTACTTAACCAATTCTGCACAGCTATAAATTCCAGCAGCTTCTCCACCAAATTCATCAAGTCTTGCTTCCTTCTCTTGATCATTCTTAGTGTTTCTTTGTTGCTTTCTAAGTACTTTTGAGTTGCTTTCATTAGTTGCTTTTAGTTTTTAAATCYCRAGCACTTTACATTCCTTTATTGAGCTTTRTTTTGTTTCCGTTGTTACTTAGTTATTTTCTACCTATTCAAATTTATAAAAATCCAGCACTTAGYTTATC